GCCGTGTGTAAAATATCGATCACTTTGTCTCCGTTCCTTTTGCTGTTTTTTATGTGCGAAACCCTTTGATTGTTAATTTTAAATTACAATCGATCCAACCGAATCAACAAAGGGGCGTACGTGGTCTCACGTTTAATAAAAACTTAGAATTTTTCTCATGTTTTTTATTGACACTAGTCTCCTGATGTCAATGTTGGGTATGCAATTGTATATGGAGCTGTTAAGTTGATTCTTGTTTCTTAAATATGTTTTACGTTCAAGTTCATGTTTCGTTTTGGATTACAAGGTACTTGATGAGCGAACTAAAGTTGAGGTTTATATGAGTTCAAACATAAAAACCAAGAATCCAATCAAACCATCGCTCACCTCTGTGTCACAATTTCGACAGTTTTCTGTTGGATGGGTAATTGTTGATCAAATGGAGTAGTGCTTGTTAGTACTTTGATGATCTCATGCTTATTTTGCTCCGTTCTTTTCTTGTTTCCGGTGTGAAATGTTCTTTTTTTTTGTTGGCGTGTGTTAAATATCGATCACTTTGGGGCCGCTTGACAAGTGTCTTTCAAATCTTTAAGTATAGACTTTTGCTTTAGATTTTTGGCCGCAGAAATTTTGGCTGTAAATGCTGTAACTGTTACTTTTAATATTAATAAAAGACTGTTTGGTAATGAAAACTTTAGAAGCTGTGACTGTTATTTTAATAATTATTTGAAAATAACTTTTTTGCAAAATTTATAAATTATGACATAAATCTGATAAAAAAATATCTAAAATAAATAAATTCCATTTATTTTTATTAGTTCATGTTTTGTATTTCATAAATACAATTCATCAAGAAGTGGAATAAACGGTAAAATATTTGGATTAAACACTGTCTTCTGGATCATCTTTATAAATGATGTATTGCATCTTCAAATACTCTAAATCCAACTCAAATCAGCTTTAAAACGATCGTTGATATAATGAAAAACATGTTGTCTCTGAAGAGGATTTAAACGAGTATCGTTTTTATCCCGATTTTCGTTTTCTTTGATGATCACTTGTTGCAGTAAAACACATGTAGCCTCGTCCGACCACTTAAAAGCCTGAAAAATAAATTGTAAATCTACTAATATTAAAGTATGAATTACTCGAGAAACAACACATAAATTATTGATAGCATACCTTATTTTTACGAGAAAATGATGACGATGCCATATCTGTTGGTTTTGCAAACTTAAAATAATCGAAAATACTAATAAGTGTGAATAATTTTTCTTGAATTGTTTTTAAACAGAACTCATAATCTCATAGTATTTATAGCTAATGATCTCTTTAAAACATTGTTGATTATAATGTAGTTTTGAACTAGTAGTCACTAGTTTAGTCAATAACAAAATATTGATCTAGTCAATACAGTAAACTCTTTTAGGCTTAAAATAGTATTAACTTACATTTTTTTATTGTTTCAATTTTTTTACTATAACAAACAAAACTCATTCTAATATATAACTTATTCAACTCCTGCACTTACGTAAGTCCACAAAAATAATGGGATACTTTTCTATTAGGCAACAAGAATATATTGAAAATATCTATACTTTAAAATAGAAGAAGGTAGGTACAGGAAGAAAAAAACGATCGAAGTTG